ATCCTCAAATATGCACTAGAATATAAAGATTTCCATTAAACTGTATATTATTTAAAGAGCATATTATTTTTTTTTTAATCATTTACAAATCATAACATTGACAATAACTGTATAAACTATCTGAAAAACTAAAATTAATATTTTGGTTACTTTGCCAATATATTACGACTTATGTCAACAAGCTCTGCCATTGTAGTGGCCAGTAAAAATGGATTGCCCTCACACTGACAGAGAATCAAAGTAATATAGCTTACCTTATAGAGGACATAAAGGGATTATATGATGTTTTAAACCCATAGCTGTCACACAGGCAGTGGTAAGTCCTAAGACGCAAACAAAGAACAAAGGAATGGGGATAATGCTAACCCTTCACACATCTTCTGTGTTCACAACAAAAAAAACAACTTGAAACAAGAAAAACTCAAAAAATTATCACCGGCCATAGCTAAGGTTTCCTTATTAGGAATGTAGCCTATATCTCCACCTATATAGTTACACACTTGATGATGCCATCATTTTGCTTAGAAATGTCATTGGAATTGTCACAGTAAATGCCTATTAGATGACAAAGAAAAAGAGGGGCAAGAATCCCAGAAACACCGGGAATAGATCCCCTCAGGACTAGTACCCCCTATAGAGCAGGAGCCCAACGCGCGTTTCGGCGGTAATGTCCGCCTTTCTCAAGGGTATGATAGTGTGCACACTCCTGCTATATGTGGTGGGGGGTGTACTTGGGCAATTAGCCTGTTTTCATCGGTTGAATTATAGTTCAGGGTCATTTGACCTATTGAACATCTTCTATTGCCTCCCCACTTTATTTTTCATTCTCTCCACTGATATCTTCCTGTCCTTTCGATTTACCTACTTTGATAAAGATACTTGAAGCCACTGTGGCCAAGATATACCTATCTATATATGTATTTAACCATTAATATCTATATATTTTATACTTAATCTGGATATCTAATAGTGAAGAGTATATTCGTTTAGTGTAGGAATTGGAATGCAGCTTTTAGCTGGTGTCTACTACATTTACATGTGTCACTACATGGATACTGTTGCTAATTTGAAATAGCTTATGTGCTTACTACTTCTTTACTGGATTTTGTGCAACTCAGTATCCAAATGTATCATATAGTTATGTGCACTCTAGCTGATTCCCTTTATTCCTAGTTTATAGCAGTTTGGTGTATTATAGCACACTATCTATGGGATTTTTAATCTTTTTCAATAAATCTTTATTATTTTTTCTATACACGGTTAGTGGGCAAATAAAATGTATTGCTCTATAGAGGGTACTAGTCCTGAGGGGATCTATTCCCGGTGTTTCTGGGATTCTTACCCCTCTTTTTCTTTGTATATTTGTTAATATAAGGGTTAGGCCCTTTTTAGTACCCCAGTAATCCATTTCTCTGTACTTTTTTGCTGGAATTTTTCCAGCTAAAAGTGCAGTGTGTTTGGCCTATTAGATGACGCATAGAACGGTGTTAAGACACATGCTATAACAGTTGGTAATATTTTTGATATAACAATAGAAATAACATACAATTAAAAATTCACTTTTTCCTCCACATTGAGAGTACAGTGGAACCTCTGAACTCAAACTTAATTTGTTCAAAAAATTTCCTATAAGAATTAATGTATATTAGATTAATCCGTTCCAAACCCCCACAATTACAGCATTTTAACACACATTTTACAGTTTAATAATACTTTACATGCATAAAATCAAATAGAAAAATAATAAACACAATGTACAATAAATAAAAATTTCACTTTACCTGTAATGATGAGAGTAAATGATGTAAGTGGAAAGGAGAAGAGATATTGTTTTAATGGGGAGTCTGCCCTTCTGTGGTTCTTTCCCTTGATCATTTCACACCACTGATACCTGGTTGAGATTCACTGGACCTTTTCTTCACTAAAAGAAATGTCCATTGAGACTTTCTGTTGCCTATGTTTTAAAATGTGTCTAAAGTGAGACATAGCATCATCTTTGAACATGTTTGTGGCATGGCTTACAGCAGCTTTGTCAGGGTGATATTTTTCAACAAAATGTTGCAGTTCAACCCATTTCTTTGATCAGTGCATTAGGAACATTTTCCCTTTCCTCCTCTGCCTCCTCCTCTGAAGACAATTCCTCAAATGCCATCTGTTGCTGCTCCCTCTGAAGGTTTTGGTGTTTTTCTATGGTGAGTTCTGTCTGGTGATTCTTCACTAACTTCTCCATATCTTCATCATTCTCCTCCAAGCCCATTGACTTTCCCAGAGACACAATATACTCAACAACAGAAGCATCCTGTTCAAAAGACTCTTTCAGGAACAGCCTCTGGCCACAAGTCCATGGTCCTGTAAGTCACACCACCCCCCATGCTTTATCTATGAGGTGTAAGCAATGAAGGATATTAAAATGTTTTTTCCATAATTATAAGGGTTAGCTCTGTTTCTGAGATCACTTCAAAGCACATTTGGAACAGTGCTTTGGTGTAAAGCTTCTTGAAGTTTGAAATTGCTTACTGGCCAATGGGCTGGACAAGAGGAGTTGTTTTGGGGGGGCAAAAACATCACAGTGATAAAACTGAACTACTCCATCACTTCTTTTTTTTTTTTTTTTTTATTCTTTATTTTTGGTCGTGCAAAAGAATACAAGGTAGCCTGCAATGCCACAACAGCAATTGCCGGCATACGTCAAAAACACAATGAAATAGTGAAACATGACAACAGTCGTAGTGAGCAATAGCATTACGTTTCTACTTGAGTAAACAGCACGGTATTTATAATAATGGTTTGGTAGTTAAACTACGCAATTTCAATTGTAGAAATGAAAAATAAAAAATATACAATAGAGGTCAAGTTACATGTTATGCAAGAAGCGGATCGATCAATGGCAGTGATATATTGGGAGGTACACGTTGGGCAAACAAGTGAGAGATCATTTTAATTTTTAGTGATCCCGCTTCCTACCGGGATGTGGAGCCCTGTTTGGACTAAGTAGTAGGCCCGAGAAATAGTACAGGGTGAGGGCACGTAAGTAGGACCACTGTGGTGTAGGGTAGCTTAAAATAGCGGATCCTTAAGGATCAAGTAACTTGGTATGGTGTCTCAAGCTTTTTAGTGAGGCAGCTCCGCCAACTGTTTATGTGTGGGTCAAGAAGAGCTGGAGCTGGGGGGGGGGAGGGTAGGATGGACGTAATTAGGGTGGATAGGTGGGTCTCCTTTCGCCCATTGTCGACCCGTACGGTCGTTCCGCCGTATGCGGTATGGGGAGGGGAGTGGTTCCTAAGTAAAGCACAACGTTTTAACCTTAACTAAGACATAAAAATAAAATGCCGGTAACTTATTAGAAAAAGAGAGGGTACAGGTCCCAACACAGATGGTTCCGTGTTCAGGTGACAGGTGCGCCCTTTGGTCCTCGAGATGCTGGAGTGAACGGAACCACGGTAGCGGGGTTCCAGGTGGGGTTCGTGGGTCGAGGGTCAGGGCTCGGTTTCAGGGAGGACAGGATAGCGTCCATTTCAGATGCCTCCGTGACTCTGTGTTCCGCACCATTATGTTGGAAAGTCAGCGCACGAGGTGTGCCCCAGTGATACTTTATGCCTTGGGATGTAAGCGTGGATGCCAGTGGTCTCAGCGACCTCCTCCACTGCAACGTCGAGCGGGAGAGGTCAGCAAAGAACGTGAGGTCCATTTCTTCAAAGTGATATGGGGTCTTCCCTCTGGTAGCTTGTAAGATGGCTGCTTTGTCTTGCCCGTTTTGAAACTTAACCAGGAGGTCGCCGGTGGTTGGGGCTGTGTTGGACTGAGGCTTGGGTAGACGAAACATTCCATCCAGTTGAATGTTCTTTGCTGTTTTAGGGGGTAGTAATGCCATGAACAGCCTACGTAGGAAGTGTGGCATCTCTGCCATAGTGATGGAGTCCGATAGGCCTCTAATTTTTAGGTGTTTCCACCTCCTCTTATCTTCCAGAATTGCTAGCTGGCTGTCAAAGTTAGTCTGCGCCTTGGTGAGGTCCCTCACCTGCTTCTGCAGGTCTGCTATTTGAGGGGTGTGCTCCTCCACTGCTTTTTCCACTGTGATTAAACGGGCTGTGAATCCCCTGACATCTTCCCGTACTTGGGAGATATCTGCAGAGAGACTTTGTCTGAGGTCAGCCAGGAGTTTAGTAAGGATGGCTGTGGTTAGTGGGATTGAGCTGCTGTCCACCTCCGGAGATGGCCTGGGGGGTCCTTGGAAGCCAAGGGCTGCTGGGTTGTGCGGGGTGTATTCTTCTGAGACGTCGGAGAAGTCGTCCAGTACATCCGCCATTTCCAGCTCGCTTGCACCGTGCGGCCTTCTAAAGAGTTCACTGATATCGGCCATGTTCCCGGGCCGGTCCGGCCTCGGTTTTTTATTCTTCCGCCCCATCTGCTTACCGACACAGTTAGCTACGTCCAGGGCAATTTGGGTTCCAGAAAGGTACCTTTTTTCAGGCTTTAATAAGCTTTTCCGACGGAGCTCCGCGGACATGCGACCGCTCCGATCGTGAGTTGGCTCCGCCCCCACAATAATCTTGCTTTTAATGAATATTGTGTTGGTTGGGCGATCTTAAATGCAAGACCTTCTTGGCTGCATTGCTTCAGTAAAATCCCTTAAAAGAAAATAGAGAAATAACCTTTCGTTTAACTAACGTGCTTAATCTTGCCGTGTGGTCTGGAGCAACCTTGGGAGATCCACACATCACTGTTTAAAAAACCAACACAGTGAATTAGGCCACAAGGCTGAAGGTTGATGTTAAGCAAGTCTCATTTTCATAGATATGACACTTCCTTGTGTATTCAATCCTCCATCACTTCTTATTCCAAGTCTGGAAGGTGAGCAGGAACAATTTTCACAACAAGCAGGGCCTTGACTGGTAAGTTTGGTTCTTGGATTTATTTTTTACACTTGGTCCAAACACCTCAAGAACCCAGCGAATACAAAATTGCCTGGTTACACAAGCTTTTGTTGTTAGCCCTCCACATCACATGCAATTTGCTTTTTGTTACATGGTTTTTCTTAAATACCCCTGGGTTCTCTGAGTGGTAGACTAGCAAAGGCTGCAATTTAAAATCCCCACTCACTTCCCCACACCACAACAGGGTTAGCCATTCCTCTCATCACAGTTAAATACTTGTTGTTGGAGTACAAATTCCTCAGCCTCTACATAGGCTTTGAATTCAACAAAAAATGTCTCTGCATCGTCTTTGTTAGCACTGGAAGCTTCACCATGCCTCACAACACTGTGTATGCCACTTCTCCTCTTAAACTTTTCAAACCACTCTCTACTTGCCTTGAAAACATCAGTCCCCGCACTCGTCCCAGGGCTGTTTTTCACAAGGTCAGCATGCAAATTCACAAATTATTGCTTCTAAAACGCTATCACCGGCTAACTTTTTTTCATTTCTCCATATCAATAACAATTTTTCTACTTCTTCTAGTAAGTACTTGTAAGTACTTTCACTCCTTTAGCAACATTGGCCATACCAAACTGCGTTGTCAGATCAGAGACGTGGACACTGCTTTCATGTTTTAAAACAATATCTTTCTTCAGCTCTATTGTTTTTTTCAATAGTAGTTTTTTCTTGGGTTGGCTAATATTCGTGGAACCCATGGTGAATTTTTGAAGACTGAATGGAGTGCTATTTAAAGACTGAGTAGAGGTCTATTTGAAGATAGAATGGAACTTTATTTGAAGACTGAGTGGAGCTCTATTTGAAGACAGATTGGAACTTTATTTGAAGACAGAATAAAATTTTATAACATGACAGGAGGCTTCGTATTTGCATTAACTTTCTTTACTAAGTCCATAGCAGCAAAGAAAAAAACTGTTAAAAGAAAGAACCAATCAGAGTGCGTCAGAGAGTATATAAGTCCCAGCATTACCAATCATTTCCTCTTTCTTTGCTGCTCCATCACAAATCAGGTCAGAGTACTGATTTCTTAACTTTTATGCTAGATTTTACTGTATGTAAAGATTTATTGTAATTGTACCTTTTTCCTGGGGGTGGCAGGGGATTCTCTAACTGTTTTAACCACTCTGAGACGGCAGTGTTCCCCTTCCCCACCTCCGCTCAAGTGGCTACGTTTGCCACTTTCAGCACTGTTTTCCGGTGCGATGGCGGTGCGAACGGAGCGGGCTTCTCACTGAAATTCGTGCACTTTGGCATGAACGGACGCAGCACCCTGCATTCGGGTAGTTATGCCTGTTCATGCTAATAACAGCACGAACAGTGCTTCTGCACTGTTCGTGCATAAAGGCACGAACAGATGGCTAAATTAAGCTTACCGTTCGCGTAGATTGACACGATACCTGTTCATTCGGTTCTCTTTTTAAAACACCTTGGGCGTTCGGCAGTTTTGTCAAGTTCACGAACGGCCGTTCGGGAATTTTCTGCCGAACGCTTCACTTAACATTGCGTTCAGGACTTTTTCCCTGTCAGCCACCCAGGGTCTCTCGCGAGAGCCGTGGCAGCGATTTTGTTGGTGAAGTTTAGTAGGAGTACAAATCACAGCAAGCTAAGGCTCTTGTTTTGGAAGCATTTCAAGCGGAATTGCAGAGGTGAAGTCCGAGTTGGACCTACACAGGTTGGTGTTACTTGGGGAGTGGGACTGCCAGTTAGGTATACCCTAGTAGCCTGGTAAGGGGTGAGCCCCCATTAGGGGGCTCACCCGTTAAGTGCTGCTTAACGGACCCTGTCCAAGCAGTTTCCGATCCCCTGGGTGAGCTCCAGTGTGAAAGAGTCCGATTTCACGCCACTGAGCGAGTCATACTAATACGGCCGACGGCCTATTCAGGTCCCTCCCACACGGTCCCTCACCTCTTATACCTATACCTATGCCTGTAAAATAGTGCCCAAATTAAAATGGAGGACACAATTAATATAAGTGACCTTCATGATCAATGCAGCGGTAGCTGCATCTTTAGAAAAGGCTATGGTGAAAGTGATACCAGAGGTCACTGACACTAGCAAACTGACTGGCAAACAGCGCCAAAATAAGGAAGACTCAGATGAGTCGGAGGACTCCGCTAAGGAGACAGAGAGCCCTTGATACTACAGACGGTCAAGGGGTACCACATCAAATTACGAACACCCCCCCCGTGCAGAGGCATCCTCCTCGTCCATTACACCTCTCAAGCTCGGATGCTCGCCTCATAGAAGAGGAGCTCCGCGAACTACTCGCGAAGGGCGCTATACAACTCGTACACGAACGAGGAGGCTTCCTCAGCAACATGTTCCTCGTTCATAAGACAACTGGGGATTTCAGGCCGGTGATCAATTTAAGGGAATTGAACACCCACGTGACCTATCGCCACTTCAAAATGGAGGGCATACACTTACTGAGGGACCTCCTGCAGTAAAATGACTGGTTTACACGTCTAGACCTCAAAGATTCCAACCTACAAGGACAGCTGTTCCTTCCTACAGTTCCTATGGAACTGCTCCCCATGGCAATTCACGTGCCCCCCTTTCGGGCTGAGTTCCGCACAGTGGTGCTTCACAAAAATGTTGAAACCAGTGGTCACACACCTCAGGACCCACGGGATCAGATGCATCATTTACCTGGACGGCATTCTCTTATTCTGCAGAATGAGACAACTGGCAGTACAACACACCGAATATACGGTACAATTATTAAAATCACTGGGCTTTGTCGTCAACAGGGTCAAATCCGCAATGAACCCCGTACAGAAAATCCAATTCCTGGGCTTCGAGATAGACTCCAGGTCTTGCACACTCCACCTTCCATCGACCAAAGTGATGGCCATCAAGAAGGAGATCTGCAGAGTACTCAAACTAGACTCCATCCTGCTCCGCCAACTGGCACGGATCGTTGGCCTACTGTCCTCTTCAATACAAGCCATATTTCCGGGTCCCCTGCATTACCGTGCCATGCAACGGTTGAAAGCTCGCTTCTTGCGACGGACCCCACGTACAACCAGCCAGTCCCTCTGACGGACGAAGTACGGCAAGAACTCAAATGGTGGCTCAACTGTATGCAAGCCTGGAATGGTCGGGCCATCTTCGGCAACCACCCGGACTTCGTCCTGGAATTGGACGCGAGTCGATTGGGTTGGGGAGCCACGGATGGAGAAGCGTCCACAAGAGGTACGTGGACAACCCAAGAACTCTCAATGCATATCAACTGCCTGGAGTTACTAGCAGGGTCCTTTGCTATACGCAGCCTAACGAAAGGACAGTCCAACTGTTGTATACTTCTATGGATGGACAACGTATCAGCAGTACGGTACATCAATCACTTGGGAGGTACCCGATCACAAACACTGGTGAATTTAACCAGTGAATTTAACCAGAGATCTTCGATTACTGCCTCTCGCGCAAGATCACGCTGCGTGCAGAAAATCTACCAGGGGAGTCGAACCTTACAGCAGATTGGTACTCCCGACACTAGAGAGACGCCAGCGACTGGCAATTGAACCCGCAGGTGTTCGCCTACCTAAATGAACGGAAAGGCCATTTTCTACTGTGGTACCTGATGGTTGTTGCTTCACGCAACAACCATCAGGTACCACAATTTTACAGCTGGCTCCCAGACCTGGAATGCCTGGCGGTGTATGCTTTCACCCAACACAAGGGGCCTATGCCTTTCCCCCATTCGCCTTGATAGCGAGGGTTCTACACCACATCCGGAGACGAGTAGTAAGACTAACCCTCCTGACTCCTCCATGGCCTAGCCAACCCTGGTTCCCAGACCTTCTCGAATTGTCTTGCCAGAACCCGATTCTATTGCCGAATGACGACAATCTACTCAGGGACCCAGCGGGGAATCCACACCCGATGCTGTTGGACGGCCGCCTAACCTTGGTGGCCTGGACTCTTTCAGGGGAGCGTGGTGTACCAACGACTTAGCGGCAACAACTAAGGACCTCCTATGGGACTCCTGGGCCCCAGGAACGCGAAAGAGCTACCTATCCGCATGGCGATCTTGGACCAGTTGGTGCATGGGACGGGACCTGGATCCCTTTACAGCCCCTGTTTCAGATATCATGAATTTCCTCTCAGTTAACTTCGAGTAGTTACTGATACCGATAACCTGTTAACTTTCAGGCCGATAGCCGATAACTTGCCGATATTCTGTACATTTACCATTTTGAAAAAATAAACTATTTCTAAAAGGTAAATGCACAAAATATAAAAGCCACATGCACTGGATGCAGTGTGTTTAGACAGTGGAGCTGTGTATATTTGTTTAGTGTATATATAATGAATGCAGGGTGTGTTTGTGTAGTGTGTATAGTTAATGCAGTGACTGTGTAGTGTGTATATAATAAATGCAGAGTGTGTGTTTGTGTAGTGTGTGGTGTATAAAGGGAATGCTGTGTGTGTGTGTGTGTAGTGTGTGTAAAGTGAATGCAGTGTTTAGTGTGTATAGCGAACGCAGTGTGTGTATAGTGATTGCAGTGTGTGTAGTGTGCGTATAGTGAATGCAGTGTGTTTGTATAGTGTGTGTGTATATAATGAATACAG